GCCACGTGGTTTCGTCTCCCGGCGCCAACTCCGCTGCTGTGAGGATGTGGCGGGCTCGTGACAGCTCGCCTAAGCGGACCTTTGCACAGCTTTGGGCGCGTTTTCGCTCTGCCAAGGCTTCTGCGTCCTGGAGGGTTGCTCCGCGCGCCGGAGTGCATTGCCGGCGCGCGGCCCGGAGCAAGTGAACCCACTCGCCGCGCTCAAACGCACGGGCACGTGCCAACAGCTCATCACGCCCCCGAGCCCCTTTTGTGTCCGGCCGTGCCAGAAGCATGCGCGGTGCTAGGAAGAACAGCTTCCAAGCTCGCGAAGCCGGCAACTCAGCCGCGCGGGGTTCCAGCACGGCGTACGCCTGTCAAGGCCGTGGTCAGGGCAGCTCGGACTGCGGTCCGCATGAAAGGGCGGCACGTCCTGCAGAGTGGGCACAGGATGGCGCAACTCTTCCTTGAGGTCAATTGCGTCGAAAGCGTCCCGGGCTGCCTCGGAGATGCCGGCCGGCCGCGCTTGCGTGGAGCCCTCGTCAGCGTCGACGGTGCCAGCGGGAGCTGGGAGTTGCGCCGCAGCTTGACGGCCGCGCCCGCGCCCTCGGCCTCGGCAACCCCGCCTGCGGCGGCTCGGTGCCGGGGACGGCCTCTCTGGGGCTTCTTGTGGGCATTCCGGCACTGCGTAGTCGAGGGCATGTCGCATGTCCTCGGCCAAAGCTTGTGCCGCTGCGGCCACAGTGCCACCCCCGAATGTTTCCAGCAATGCCGATTGCGCGGCCGCCGTGAGGTAGCCGTCAGGGCTTGCGCTCAAAGCAACGGCCGCGGGCAGCGGCAGAACCGAATCTGGAAAAGCCGTCAGAACGTTCACAAGGTCGATGTCTGCTGCGGCTACAGGCCTGACCTTCATGGGCCTCCACATCCGCGACTGCACTGAGCAAGCGGGCGACGGCCTGTGGGTCCGCCGCTGGCGCATGGCGCATCGCTGAGACAAGAGCGGCCCAACGGTCGCCCAAGCTCGGGTGCGAGCTCCAAGCCCGCACCGCTTCTTCAGACAAGGAGCCTGCGGCCGCATGCAAAAGTGGCACGTAAAGCCACGACAGCCGCTCCGGTGGAGAAGAGCGCGGTGGCCGCGCATCGCACAACGCGGGCGCGTGCGCATCGCACGGCGCAAGCGCGTCCACTGGTGAGTACCCCGGGGTCGCCTCGTCGGCCTGCGTTGGCGCGACTTCGCCATGCACGAGGTCCTCGGGCTCGCCCGGTGTGGGCGCGGTGGTGCGCGCGCGATTGTGTGCGAGGCTTAGGTAGCTGCGCGGCGTGTGCGGCGGCGAAGCGATTGCTGTGTGGGCGCTCAGGGTGTCCGAGACAGTCTCGGCGTCTGATTGGCCAGCCGCTGCGTCACCCGCATCGCCGTCTAGGCCAAGATGCGCCAGGGCGGCCAAGGCCCGCGCCCGAGGCGAAGGATGCTCGCCAGATGGTCTTGGTTGGGACGCCTCGCCAACCCGGACCCCCTTCCCTGGATCATGGGCAGGTTTTACTGCCGCCCGCCACGCCGGCGAGCGGCAGTGGTGGCAGGGCGCGGGGTGGCAGCCACAGGTGCCGTTGCATCGGCGAGTAGGTGGGCCATCAACGCGGCTGGCGTGCGCCCTGATGCCCCCGACACTTCGTGCAGTGCCGCGTCGCCGCCCTCCAACAGGTACTGCAGCACAGCCTGTGTGGGTCCCGCGTGCGGGCCAAGTGCTCGCGTAGCAGGGCCTCCCAACTTCCTGTGGCTTGCATCGTCTGGCAGCCCCCTGCCATTGCAACTAAAGCGGACGCCGCTCGGCGGAAGAGAAGGCCGAGCAGGAAGCAGAGCAGGAGCCAGCCCCAGGCGAGAGCAAGTGGCCCGAAGCCTGGAGTAAAGTACCGCGGCGTTGCCCCACTGCACGTGAGGGACGCGTGGGCCAGGCTCTCCCTGCACGTTGCCGGCAAAGAAGCAGCCCACCACAAAGCTGACGAGGCTGCGGAGTAAGCCCCGGCGCATGCCGACAGAAGCTGTCCGATCACCGCTGCCGACATGGCATGGAAAGTCCGGCTGCGCCGAATGGCGCGAAAAAATGTTTCCCCATTGCTGCTTTGACGTTGTTGTTGCATGCAATTTTTGTATGTATGCATACACACGCACACACCGCCGTAGTCTGGAGTGTGGCACTGCCATCATGCTTACCATTGTGCGAATGGACGTGGTTTGGAACCCATGGAGAACCAGGCCCGCAAAAGGAAACATCGTCATGCCAGCATACTAGTGCTGTCAAGTGCTCAAAAAAAAGGGGTTCATGATGTCAGCTTAGAAACTTGGAGAGGTGGGCCATGGATCATGGAGCAGGATGATGGAGAAGCCCCCTGCCAGAATAGAAGACATGTCTGACCCCCGTCCCGGCCGCAGATGTCCACGACCCCCCACATGTCCACTTCGCACTGAAAGGTGTTGGGCTGGGTGCGGACCGCTCAACCTGTGACAGCCTGGGCCACAGCATCACAGGTGGCAGTTTCAGCCCCAGACATACAGGTAAGTTTGGATCGTTTCGTGCGTTTTGCAAGAGGTAAAATCGTGTCAACTGTGTGTTTTTTGTTGGCGGATGTTTGCGCCTTCCATGATTAGGTTCGCGCCGGCCGTTCAAAACGTCACGAGCCCTTGGGCGACTTTCCTTGCAAAATATGATGCTTGTTTCATGATTTATGGTTCATGATGCATGATCGTCAAGAAAGAATCGTTAGCGCTTTCGGTGGGCATTGTTTGTTAGGTGTCGAGCATGCCACAGCAACAACAAATTTCAAACAGTGGACACATGCTATAGTCCATTTTCACAAGAACAATGACATGGTGCTACCCAATGGCACATGTAGGGGCCGGCCTTCCAAAAAAACAGGAGTACGAAGAATGCCGTGATGGATGCCCAGCGGTTGCAAAACTGGCAGCTGAGGAACTATTCCGTCAGGAGAGGACGTATACATAGCCGAAGTCGTTGGCAAGCGAGCTGCTTTGCGGGAATTATCGTCATCATGATTTCTACGCACGTGGCCCTTGCAGCAATCGCAGTTTACTACAAAAAATTGACCACTAGTTGTGCCTGAATTTGTGGTTTTCTTGTGTACAAGGTTACCATTCTTCAGGCAGTTCGGGCATTGTGCAATGATTATGTGCGTATGCATCCTGGATGATCCTTACGGCGTAAAACGGCTTACGACAATTGCGGCAACAGGTCTGGTGTGCTGGACTATGCTGGACTCGTTTTTGCAAGTTCACACCAAGAGGTCTATGCGCCAGCGCGTTCACATGCGCATATGGTCTTGCATGTAGCCGACAAGGCAAGGGTGTTCTGTGAAAAGAACGCAGAAAAAAGTCCATGTCAACCTTGAGCGAATGTTCCAGCGTGTTGCAAAGGAAAGCAATGCAGAGCGTTTCTGGCAACAATTTGTTTGTCAGTTCTTGCCGACCGAGGCAAACATTACCTCCCCATACGTGGGGTGGATTTCAATTCGGACGCCCGAGGATCAGGCCACCACCTGTAATTCCGATAGTGTTATCTTACTGGCACACAATAACCCGGACAGATTCATCACTGGAAAAGCCGAATATGGTGCCATATTTGTAACGACCCTGCCATGATGCCGATGCAAGACATGACCGTGCTAATTCGGGAGGGTTGTCAGGGAAAATAATATAGGATACATAGTATCAGTAGAACAGGTGACGGTTGTGCGTGGGCAAGTGGACCTGGAAACACAAACAGAAATTCCACCAGCAGCCCGTCTGATTGACATCATGTGTTGGTGCAGGCATTGAAAGGTATGGTTGTGAGATGTTTTGAGCAATAATTGTATACACGTTGTGGTTGATTGCGGGCTTGAACGCCAATCCAAGAATTTAGATTGTCTTGTTGTTCTGACGTGGACAGCTTTTGTAAGTCAAAATATGGTGTGGTTTGGCATGCATCAATACCCTTATTAGTCATGATCGCAGAATGTGAAAGCATGCGGACCCTAGGTCACCCCAGGTTGGGTCAGAGCAATGCGAGAAGTCACCGTGCGTGTGGGCCGTGAGAAGCGATCCGAGCTCGTAGGTTCCTCGACAGTATTCATGTGCAAAGGGGCGTAGTGTAGTTTCAAGCTGGAATGTGTTGGAATCAGTTGGATGCCGGCATTGTGTTGTGAGATTCTGCGTCATCCGGGTAGAGGGATTGTTGCTCAGGTCCAAGCCAGGCATTTATTGTTGTGCAGAAGACGGGCTTCGAGCAGCAAACTGCTAAAAAAAGAAAAAGTTAGCCATACTCAGATGGAACTTGTTCCTTAGCAGCCCTAATCCAACGTTTGATGAAAACCACGACCTTTCTCGTCTCCAAATGTGCAAAGTTGCCTGGCGGGGTGCAGTGTTCCCAGGAACAATTTCTGTGGGAACACGCGTGCTGATTGAAGAAGTCCAAGGTATCCGTGTTGCTCGGCAAACATTTTTGGTGGTTGGTACCTCATATGGAATGATGGAAGGGATCCCCACAGCAGCCCTGTAGAATGCCTTTTTCCTTGTTGTCATAATTGTAACCCACTCCTTGCCTCTCAGCCATTCTTCAACCCCTGCAATCCCAGACTCGAAGTTGTGAGGGCAGGCATGGACGCATGGACAGAACCATTAGCGCAGCGCACTTGGAGTGGGAGGTCGGCTGCAGCTATTTTTTTTTTGTTGGTTTGTTGTTTGGGTGTGCGTGGTCCTGATGCACTGATGCATGCATATCCCTTGTTGGTGCATCGCGCTGTTGTTCCACTTCTTCAACGTCCCTCGAGGTCAAATTTTCTTGTGGACAAATCGGTGCGCGAGGTAGTTCAAGAAAGGTTGTTTACGAGATATTGTTGCTGCCAAAACGCTTCCGTGACATGAGTATACTGGATTTCGACAATTCCCGCGATGTAGGCTACTTGGGGTCATGCAGGTCTTTTGAGATTAGCCGTCGAATCTTTCAGTTTCGCCGACTACAGCAGCAAACATTCAGTTTTGGCATGCTGAGCTAGTATCTGGAACACACCAAAGCACAAGGGCGCGTTTGACAACGCCAAGGATACATATAGGCTATAGGCATCAAGAAAAGTTGCTGGATAAAAGGACCGGCCGTTCTACAGTTGAAGGGTATGGTGGGCTTGCTGGAATCGGGACTGAGGAGACACCGCCTGGTGGGTGAAAAAACAGTTGGGCATGCCCTTGAAACATGTCCGTATAGACTTCAGAAAACCCCATGACCCTTCTACGAACCTTATATGAGTTTTACATGGGGCTACCCATTTGGAAACTACGAACCTGAGGGTGGCCTTGCGATTGCCAGGCTAGGATACGGAAGCCTCTCGAGGGTTGGGTCTCCGTGCTGACACCCAGTCGTGACTTGGCTGCCTTTAGCATGGGTCTTTTGACTTCAATCCTTCAGGTTCCCTACTAAGTTCTACTAGTTGTCAAACCTTTGGGGTTTCGTACTAGGTTGTACTAATTTTCATTTCAGGGAGGCAAAAAGTTTGATTTTTAGGAAGTCCTGCAGTCAGCTAAGGAGAGCCAACTGTGGCGCAGGACGCCTCGCAGGCCGGCGAACCCGCAAACCCCTAAACCCTAAACCCTAAACAGCATCTTCCATTTTATTTCCACTATCCCAATATAGCTTAATATAACTAACCCCTAATATACTATAATATGTTATAATACATCTTCCAGCGGCTCGGAAGGCCTAAATCTGTCCTTAGCCAGCGCGAGGGGAAGCCCCCTGAGTAGAGAACTTCTACACGTAAGGGTTGAGTACGGCTCATTATCTGCAGCTCTTAGGGGCTTGTGTAAACACAGTTTGCTCTGGGGAATCCGTTTTGTATGGTGTGCCCACCCCCGCCTCCTACAATGTAAATACCACCATGTGGAAACATCAATTTTCTGGTTGCTTTCTCATTTGTGCCACAAGTTAGATTCAAAAGGTTCAGTGAATTTCAGTGACGCGTGTTTTTTGTGTCTCTGTGAGCGCTCATGTGGAGCACGGCTTCGCTCGCTGAATTGAATGCTTACACATACCGCCGTGCGGAAACAGGAAACTAGGTTTCAGTATGCTTGTTTGTGCACCGCTTCACAAGTGCTTGCCGCCTTTTGCAGAATTCTTCCTTGCCCAAATCATCGCCTTCAGACGGGCTTTAGTATGTGGTAGAAGCTCCATATGGGATGGGAGTAGTGGAGCCCTAAACCCTAAACCTTAAACCCTAAACCCTAAACCCTACCTAAACCCTAAACCCTAAATCCTAAACCCTAAGCCCTATCACCTGGCATCACCTGGTCCAGGCCATGGGAGAGAGCTTGCGCCCAAGAGCATCAACCAAGACGTCCGCACCTTCCCTGCACATGAGCCATAGTCTAAACTCCTTAAAGGGGTTATATAGGGTTGAGG